CATTCATTTGTGTCACCGAAATTCTCCCCAGCAATGACAGTTGTAGTTTCTCCCATATTAAATATCTTTTTAAACCTCATTCTACGTCTTAACATAGTTATTTTGAAATAATGTACAATTCATATGTCATAGTGATACCCAGATATTTTACCTTCTTCTCAATCTTAAAACCTGTTTTATTCATCAATTCTGTTTGATCTTCTATTTTCATATTTTTGGTTAACATCTTTGTCTTCTGTTAATTAATCTTGAAACCTGCTAATGCACACCAAATTCTTTTAATTTGCCCATTAATATTTCAATTCCCTTTAAAGGATCTTCCAGAACTAACACCAAGTCATCTGCAAAAGCCCTTAATTTGTAAGTTTCTTTTCTAATCTTTACTCCCACAATCCTCTCATCTTGTCTTATATCTGTATTCAGTATTTCAAGAACCAAAGTAAACAAGAGAGGAGACAGCGGACGTCTTATTCCTTTTTGTAAAGAAATTTTGCTACAATAGGCTCCATTCTTAGCTGTGGGTCATCCTTAAACTGAGCATTCTTAACCCATGGACTACCTGTATCTCACAGGGTTTGTTAGATCTCCATTAACAATTATTTGTGCTTTCTGTGAAGTGTAAATCGATTTTACCCATTTTATGAAGTTCTCTCCAAAATTCATATCTTCCAAAACCTTGAACAAGAAAGCCCAGTTCAAATTGTCAAAGGCCTTATGAAGTTCTCTCCAAAATTCATATCTTCCAAAACCTTGAACAAGAAAGCCCAGTTCAAATTGTCAAAGGCCTTCTCTGCATCTAAGAAAATCAATGCGGCTTGTTTTTCATTATGTTGTTCCAAATATTCCAAAATATCCAATCCATTCTACCATTGCCCTTTAACTGTCTTTTACGTAAAAATTCACATTGACCCTCATGAATAAATTCTTGCAAAATTATTTTCAGTCTATCATTTAGAATCATTGTGAACAACTTGTGGTCATTATTCAATAATGATATTGGCCTATAGTTTCTTGTTAAAGTCAAATCTTGTCCCACTTTAGGTATTAATGCTATATTGGACTCTTTCCATCTCTCTGGCAGACAAGGGATCAAGTTTTGCAGCAGCATTTTAATACAAGACTGAATATTGGTAATATAGATGTAATTGTTCTTAAAGAAATTCCTATTAGAATTTTGCATAAGAAAAAAGAGTGTTCTTTTTTGACTGAGAGATTAAAGCAGAAAAGGATCCCATTTCGATGGGACAAATTGGAACATGCGATTTTTACTTTTAAACAGCAGAGGTTTTGATTAAATTCTGTCCAGAAGGTAAGGGAATTTA